GATTTCATCTTATTATTTATATCTTGTAAAAATGTTTACTCATATTTATAATTCATCGAATCGATACGTCGAATTAATTTCTTTTTAAAGCATTAAGGAAAAAGAGAAAAAAAGACGCAATAAATTTATTCGTTCAGTCCTTTCCGCGGAAATTTTTGGAAAACAAGAGATGGAGAAATAAAAAATTATGAATAATCAATCAAATTAGATTTCATCTTATTATTTATATCTTGTAAAAATGTTTACTCATATTTATAATTCATCGAATCGATACGTCGAATTAATTTCTTTTTAAAGCATTAAGGAAAAAGAGAAAAAAAGACGCAATAAATTTATTCGTTCAGTTCTTTCCGCGGAATTTTTTTGAAAAAAAAGAGATGGAGAAATAAAAAATTATATAAATAATCAATTAGATTTCATCTTATTATTTATATATCTTCTAAAAATGTTTACTCAACTATTTCTACAATAATTCATCGAATCGATATGTCAAATTAATTTCTTTTTAAAGCATTAAGGAAAAAGAGAAAAAAAGACGCAATAAATTTATTCGTTCAGTTCTTTCCGCGGAATTTTTTTGAAAAAAAAGAGATGGAGAAATAAAAAATTATATAAATAATCAATTAGATTTCATCTTATTATTTATATATCTTCTAAAAATGTTTACTCAACTATTTCTACAATAATTCATCGAATCGATACGTCAAATTAATTTCTTTTTAAAGCATTAAGGAAAAAGAGAAAAAAAGACGCAATAAATTTATTCGTTCAGTTCTTTCCGCGGAATTTTTTTGAAAAAAAAAGAGATGGAGGAATAAAAAATTATATAAATAATCAATTAGATTTCATCTTATTATTTATATATCTTCTAAAAATGTTTACTCAACTATTTCTACAATAATTCATCGAATCGATACGTCAAATTAATTTCTTTTTAAAGCATTAAGGAAAAAGGGAAAAAAGACGCAATAAACGCGATAGAGTTTGAAGATCCAATATTTCGCCATCTCTTTTTCCAGGAAAGGGTGAGCGACGTAGGGTTAATAAGACAAAGAACATGATACCGCGAGCGCAGGGTTGAGTACGAGGGTTAATTCGCTTCCAACTAAGACTGCGCAAGTATGCGGTGACTGCCAAGCTGTCGCTGAAACACGCGAACGTGTCCGTCGCATACCCCGATCACGTGTACACCATTCTCGACTCCAGCCAGCATCTCGACAAGTTCTGAACTCGGCTTAACAGCGAGAGTTTTATACCCTGAAACGTAAAACGTATTACGGGGTTCTCTCTCCCTTTCATTCTCTTTCTCCGTCTCTCTCTCTCTCTCTCTCTCTCTCTCTTTCTCCCCGAACTTGCATTTGCAGTACAAAGTTCCGGCCTTGTTAGCTTGTCCTCGTCTCTAAGCTGGAAGTAGCGTAAGCCTTTTTAATGACGGCGAACCGGCAAGATATTCATGCAAGAGACGTGGCGCGTTTTCGCAAGAGAGGATCTTCATTATTTCGAGCGTGCCCCGCTTGTACGGAAAATGCTCCGACTTGCGGAACTACGATCGTGCTTCAACGCTTCTCCGAAAACGTGATCGGCAGCTGGCGAAACTGCAGTCGAAGCACTATTAACACTGGTACACGCGAATGTTCTTTGGATTTATCGTTCAACTTTCTTTGACAGCACACTCGCACACAGTACATACACACGTACATATATATATATATATATATATACTTTGATGTGTGTTGAAAAAAAAAGAATACATCGATTCTTTTTATACGTAATATCTAGCTTCAATGATTCACAGTTTTTTTAATTGGATTTAATTTTTTTATAGAGAGGTTTCGGTTTGTGCTTTTTACCATAACAATAAACTGTTAAATCCAATTTAACGAAATCCCGTGTCGAGTCAAGAGTGGAATGCACGCGTAGTTTTCGATGTGTAGCACACGCGGATTTTCAGCCCGATGAATAAATGTGCCAAATATTCTCGTACGAATTGATGCTCACGACGGCGGATCGATAAATAATCAATCGGCGACTATCATGTCGGGCGAATCGGCCAAATCGTCGCGTCAAAAACACCGGGACGGTAGCGGAATGGTTGGCCGATGGCGACAGCTGCCAACAACGCGTGCAATTTTACGTATCGCGAACGTATCGGCACGGCGCGTATATATTGCAATGTTTTTCGTCGTATAAAAAAATACACAGACATTGTCCGGCGCGATACGGCAATCTGCGAGAGCGTCAAATCCATCATCGGCCGTCTAGCGGATATTACGTGTGACACACTAACGAATATCAAAGGAATCGTTTCATGGCGTTGTGCCTTCGACAAATGTTATCAGACGCGTGCGTGACGTTGATTAATGCGAGGAAGGCCAGCCGGACTATCGAAATGTCCTCATCTCGACGTGTAAACGGTATTTAACACACCAGAAAAATTCACCCGTTAATATCAATTTTTTTCGTTCCTATATAATTGATAATATATTCTTTTCAAATCTACGGAATCTAGAAATGTTTCTTTTTTCGTGAAATTTTTATGATGAAGAAGATTATTTTGCGAGAATGATTATATATAATGTTATCGCGAAACAATGGAGAGATTTACTCTTATCTCTCGACTTCTAACTTTAACCGTGTTCTATAATGTGGAGGAGAGCAGGCAGTGTTCAAGATTAACAAGTCGAAACTTGGACTTTTCTCTTCCGTTCGCGCGAAAGCCGCCTCGAAGGTGCGCGGATCAAGTGAAAGAAAGAGAGAGTGCCCTCTCTCGTGCCACACCGTAAAATTCAAATCCCAAGGGTCATCGAGAATGGAGACGCCTACTTTGCAGGGTCGACCTCTCCCAGCTTCCGCTACTGCGGTTATACGTCGGCACGTTCGACTGCAGGAAGTCCGCTACCACTAGCCACCCGATGGCTTGTATGCCGGAACGTGCGTCGATTTCTTCTCCCGGTTTAATTCTGGGTCTATAGCCGATACACGTCGCGATCCATTTTCCCCGTATTATTTTCTAATCTTTAATCAATCTTTCAGCCGTGTCCTTTCCAACTTCCAATTTTACAACATTTACCACATTTTATTTTCAATTTGCATATGTACAAACGCTTGTTGTTTCCACCTCCACCCACACGATAAATAATAGAAATGTTTACCTTTTCATTATTTATCATGTAATTTTACATTTATTATTTATGTAATTTTACATATCTTTTTTTTACAGTGTATCTAACGTCGCAACAATTAGCTTATTCAGTCCAAGTCTTTTTTTAAACGAGTCGGTCAATCTATTAAATTGGTAAATATGTAAAGAATACGTAATATTATTTTAAGAATCTTCTGCGTTCATCTTTTGTGAAAATGACAATCATGTACGGGCACACATAATAGAACGGCCGGCAGTAGTGAAAACGCGTTTCATTGTTGGAGTTTAGTGTATAAAGTTTTATTGTAAAACTCGTTAACGAAGTCTAAGAGAACAGGATTATTATTGAACAAACTGAGAAAGCAGGAAGCAAATTTTATAATGATGTTGAAAACAGATCGTGTAAATAAAGTGGTTGTATTCTAACTCTCATGACTGTATGCACGGAGCAAATAAGAAAAACAGACTTAAGACAAGATACTTCAAGTGATCGCATGATTACACTATTCTCTATACGTAATTTCTCTCTCTCTCCCCCTTTTACATTTGTATTTTTTATTCTCCCTGCTTTTACATTAGTATTTTTTATAAATATTAATAGAAAATTATGAAGTTTATTGATAGAAGATTACAGAAATTGAAAATTTTCTTTTTTTTTAAATTTAGGAATTCTTTAGTTTTTTAAAAATAAGAAAAAATCTCTCTCTCTCTCTCAGATAACGTGTAATTAACACTATAATGAGGTTATTATTATTTACGCAAACGAGCATATAGGAAAATGAGAATTTTCCTTTATCTTTTAACGTATAGCGATCTTAAAGGAACAAAAATAAATTTTTTTAGCACTTTAGAAGTGAGTTACTCACTATTCGATCTTTGGTTTAATTTCAATCTAATTACGGTCAGTTGTTACATGAAAGACATGTTCATTGACACAGCGTAAAAGAATGTGTACTACATATGCGATATACATATTGCATGTAAATTTACACAGACTTATCAGTGACTTTTAATGAGCTATTGAAAATAATGGTGTCATAAATTACTGTTATTTATCCTTTAATTACGACAGATTCTACCCAGATAACATTTTTTGCCTGAGTTTTGTATGTGGGATATGTTTAGTCACACATATTGCACGCAAATGCTTAGCTTACGTATTATTTGATACACGTGAAAATGGATATCAAATTGCCAAAAATATGCCAGTGATGTGATAATGCGTGCAATATGCTTGTTGAATATGCTTATCTTGCATGCTTATAACGAGGTGAGCGCAAGTGCGCTAGCATTTGCTATCACTATGACGACGCACTGAGATAAGGTTTTACTTGCGCATACAAGCTGCTTTTATACGCCCAATGGCTAGGTATTTGCGCACATGTTTTTTGCACTGAAAACAAACTATTAATTTCAAATAAATATTTATTTCAATAGTGCCATTAACACAATTTGTTTGAAATTCATAATATTGATTTGCTATAAAAAAATATTTAGATAAGAAATCCTTTTTCAAAACAGATAAATATTTAATACTTGTTTCAAACAAATGGTGTTAATGGCACTATTAAAATACACATTTGTTTGAAATCAATAGTTGTTTTCAATGTGGGTAATTATATATATTTATCTGATAGTGTAATCTTATGTTTTTCTTGGTTCAAGGTTAAAGCGTTTATTTAAAGAAATGTATAAATGGCGTTATTTAAAAAAATGTATAAATATGCTGGAAAATGCGCTCATTCTCTTCTATTACAATACATTTGTTTTGCAGATACGTGCCTTATTATTTAGTCCGTATTTGTCCGCGAAAAATAATAAGCCTAAATGTGCACAGAAAAAACAGTATCGGTATGTATATAAGAAGATTTCGCTCTTAACATCAATTAGTTTGTGAAATTTCTTTCCGGTGTACAAGTACTTTTAAAAATATTTTAGTGTGTAGTATGAGAGCTTCAAATTCGGTTTATCAAGGCAAAGTACGATAAGTAAATTTTCCCTTTTATATTTTATCCGCAAATAATTTACATATTTGTTGCATAAAATTGCAACAGTGTATAATAATCACATACATATACTCTTTTTTATTTTCAAAATCAAATTTATTTATTTATAAAAAATCCTACAACTACATATGTTTGAAACCATGTTATTTAATAAATACACATAATATTTTTATATAAATATGATTATCTTATATATGTTTTATTAATATCAAATAATATTTTTAAAAAATTGTCTACGTCATCTTAAAAATTGGGTATATATACAGCGCGCCGACATTGTGAGATACAGATATCGATTTGTTTTTAAAAAGTACACATTGTGATTAGGTTATTTAAAAAGAAATAATTGTTTAAAAAAGTGGTATGTTCGCGACAAAAAAGTAAGTTAATACTATTTATTAAAAATCTAAAATGTAATATTTGAGCGGATATATTAATTGGTTCACAGTGTCGTTACATAATATAACAGCATGACATACAGAAATCTGACGCTCTAACTCAAGCCAACAAACATGAATTTTGTACTGCGTTCGTCATATGATAATCTTATAAATGTTGTATTTATATTAAGGTCGATATGACTAAATTAATTTTTTGACATATTAGCATGATATTGAAAAAGACTGTCGTACAGTCGAAACGTTTATCTTATCTTTTGTATATTATGACATAAATTAATAATAAAAATTTTTTAATTAATATCTTATAAGCTCGTTAAGTTGGCCTTTTATTATATCACATATTTTAATTGTATACGAGCCGAAGTTTAATTTATAAAATATATATATAAAATTTAATTTTTATTAGGCCTTTTTTGAGCATAAAATTAGAATAAATTAAAAAGACATAAATATCAGATGTAACATTTATTAGAAGCGGAACGTTTTGTACTTTTACTTAAGACTTCTTCAGCCGCAATATACAACGCTATAAATATATAATATAAAAATTAATTTTAACAATTTATAGATTTTAAAATTTGATGTGGATGTTGTATAATTTTGTTTATTAAAAATAGAATCTAGTAACGAAAAGTAAGAAGAATCTAAATATTCGCAATTTTCTGTTGCATTTAGATCATTATGTTGTTGTTTTATGTAGATAGTCTCCGAGATCAACCTTTTATAATAGTTGTTTACATTGATCTAAAGTCTTGGGATTATCCCAGTCGAAATTATGATTAGTTTCCGTTATATGTTGGGACATTACCGTGTGTTATTATACATAACTGTCATTGTCCTTTCGTCACTCTTTGCTTAGATATATAATGCCGACGCTTTAAGATTGATGTCATCGTCTGATCATAACTCAATAGTCATTGTCAAGTAAAAGTGTTTATTATATACCGAATAATTTTGACACGTATACATATATATAAATAATTTTTAATCATTTGACACACTGTAAAATTTATTTTTTCAAACTTGGACAAACGATGTGAGCTTGGTTTAATTATGTATATAGACAATAACAGTCACATAAGATTTTAAAATCTCGGCTAAAGAAATCTTAAGTAAAAGTACGTTCCGCTTCTAATAAATGTTTTATCTGATATTTATGTTTTTTTAATTTATTCTAATTTTATGCTCAAAAAAGGCCTAATAAAAATTAAATTTTATAAATATAAATGTTTTAAAAATATAAATTATGTATATATTATGTCACAAATTAAATAATTTGTTTGTTGTTATAATAATTTTAGAATATAATTTAGCATGGCACAATATACTTTTGGCGAAATAAAAATCTTTAGTGATACGATAGATGATATGGAAATTATAAGGACTATGACTAGTACGGAAGATCCAGAAAGAGGCTTTTATGTTGCGGATATCGGTAATGTTATTCAGAAGCATCAAGAATGGATTACCAAGATGCCCAGAGTCGTTCCACACTTTGGTATGCATATTTTTTTATATTTTTATATTCTCAGTGATATACCAGTGATTTACAGCGTCAAGATTTAATATAATTAACTCTATTCAAATTTTAGCAATTAAATGTAATCCGGATCCAACGGTAATTAAAGTTCTCGCGGCTTTAAATGCCGGTTTTGATTGTGCATCCAAGGTAAAAATCTTTCTCCAATCATCAAGTATGGTTTAAATATGATTTATAGAGATAATCTCGAGATAATGTTATATAATATTTACGACACAGCAAGAAATAGAGCAAGTAATGCGACACGGAGTGCATGGCTCTCGAATTATTTTTGCGCACCCAACCAAATATCCGTCTCACATAGAATACGCTAAAAAGATGGGTGTCGAGCAGATGACAGTGGACAGTGAGAGCGAGTTGTTTAAGATTAAAGATCTCTTTCCCGAAGCTAAGTGAGTAGTAGTGGATACGTTTTAAAAAGAATACGCTTTTTAAGACAATCTATATTAGATCTCTTTTGACTGACACATCTTTTTGTGTAATAGAATTGTTATACGTATACGTTGCGATTCGAAGAATACGCCGATAATACTGGGATTGAAATTCGGCACCGAATTGGGTGAGGAAACTGTGCGTTTGATACAGCTTGCGAAACAACTAGATCTGAATCTACATGGCTTCAGCTTTCATGTCGGTAGTCCGTGCAGAGAGATGGAGGCTTACGGAAGAGGGATCGAATTGTGCAAACAATTAATTAACACCTCCAAGGCGATTGGACACGATAACGTGCAATTGATCGATATCGGCGGTGGATTTCCTGGCGAGACCGGAACGAATGTCGATATGGTATATTCCGAATTTTTCCAGATTCTTTTTTAAGATTGCGTATCTTTCTTTCAAATTAAAAAAATAGTCTTAAATTGTTAGAATATTACACATGAGACTTAAAAAAAAACGATATTAAGTAAAATAATAAAACTTGAATTAATGTTAAATTTATTAAAATTAAAAAAATTATTTTTCAATTTTCAATATAAAATTACTGTGGAAAAATTTAAAAGATTCATACCTAATTATCAGAAATATAAATAGTTATTTTCAGATATTCTTATTTATATATTTTTTCATTTACTACGTTGTTCATGCACATTTTTAGTTTGCCACTATTATCAACGATGCCATACAGGATCTAGATTCTAGCATAAAAATCATTAGCGAACCAGGAAGTTATTATGTAACTTCCAGTTTTACTTTGGTTACGTATATGCATTCCATAAAAATTAGTCTGAAAAATAGCAAAACAATGAGAATGTATTATATAAATTCCGGCGTATTCAGTTCCTTCATAGATGAATTGTTAGGTCTGCAAGCTAGAGTCCCGCTATTACTTTCCGAGGTAATTATATATTTGGTTTCACATTAAAAGCGCGTTTCTTTATCGATAGAAAATAATCGTTCAATTTATCCACCGCAGCCAATGAGCGACGAAAAATTTCTTTCAAGTATATGGGGACCGACCGCCGACTCATATGATTTAATTGTCAAGGAAGTGATGTTGCCGGAGCTTCATATAGGCGATTGGTTGGCTTGGAAAGATATGGGTGCTTACTCTATAGCCATGTCTTTTACATTCAATGGATTCCCAATCCCGATTGTGATACCAATCATTAGAAAGAGTCAATGGTTAGTGCGAAGAAATAGATAGATAAACAGTTTAATTATATATTATTATTTGTTTGTACAATAATCCTCCAACATAGCTTTTAATTAAATTATTGCATAAACTGAATCGTTAATATACTTGCAGGGAGAATTTTAAAGCGCAAATTGATTCAATATAGGAATTTGCTTCATTCTGCAAAAATCATTGGGCCAAACAACTTAATGAGAATAATGGAATGAATTCTTCTAATAAAATATAAGGTTTTACCAAAAATAAAATTAAATGTGTTATAAGTCTAGTTTTGTAATCCTTGAGAAATATTAAATAAGACTTTGTGACATGTTTTTAATATCTATTCAATATACACAACTATGATAAACTATGATAAATGCAACTATCGAAAAATTTAGAACTCATTAGATGCTTCACGATAAAAGACGATAAAAGATTGAAGAAACTAATTATGCGTAATTAGAAAGCCAACTGCGTAAATAAATGCAACATATGGTAAATCTTAAGAATTAATGTTTTTTTCAATTTCAAAATAAATATTTAATAATTTATAATTACACAATGATAAGATACAACAGAGTAAGATAAAAATTTAGTCTCATATAATTCACTAATATGTTAAATTACGCGATATATTATTTATTGATATTTTTTCGTATCTCTCATAGTTGTCGAAATATTTGCATAGGATTAAAATGAATTATCCTGTATAATTTTCAAGATATTATTTACTAATACATGACTAAAAGAAGCTAAGTTAAACTAACTTTCAACATAAAATTAACTAATTTTAAAATTAATTAATTTTAAAATTATTTAGTCGTATAAAATAACTTAGTTGAGTTGTCAGATAAATTACAAGATTTCAATAATTATGTAGAAACTCAAGAGGAAATATTGGTTAATAAAATACTTGTTGTATTATTTAATCAGGTGACAGCGCGATTAATTATGGTTCTATTGATAAGCATTCTTATCAAATTACGCTGGAATATGATCACTATAAAAAAATATGCCATTTAATTATTTTATCTTAAACCCATGTAAATAACGTTTGTAGTTTAGTACCACGATGTTTTGAAAAAGGAGAAGAAAAAGAGACAAAGAAAGAAAGAAAGAAAGATGATGATAGAGAGCAGAATAAATAATACACAGCCGATGCTATGGACAATCAGTCACCCTGAACGTGTCATACAGTAAGTTGACAAATAATGAACGTATCAATAAATTTATACGTCTTTATAAGTTAGCAGTTCGATTAACTAAAGTCTCTGGGATCGACTAGTTCAAACAAACTATAATTAATCTTCGTCAAAAGCTGTGATTAAATTAAGGATCTATCATCTATCTCATCTGTGATCTATAAGTCCAGGAATATCAATATTCATTGTAATATACATAACGACAGTTGGAAATCAACATATTAAAAATCGCAAGTATTATTTAAATTAGTATTTTCTTAAATTAGTTTAAAGAAGAAAATGTTAATTATGAACAAAATGTTAAATAAATTAATTGTCATAATCCATTCATCAAGCTGAATTTATGTAACATAATTCAGTTACAATCAAAGATATTAATTGAAGTTTATAAAATATTAACTTATTCTTTGCACAGGAAAAAATTTTGCGAATAATTTTGCTGTGTGTTTATTTGATTTCATCATGTCGCATTTCAATTTCAAAGAAATAAATATCATTGACGATGACATATAGATGACATGGATATCATTAAGAATATAATACAGATTGAAAATCCAGGGGATGCCTTTTATATAGCAGATATCAGTGATGTTATTAAACGACATCACGACTGAATAAGTAAAATGCCTAAAATTGTTCGACATTATATGTTTATGAAATTTATCACAATTTTTGCTCTTTATATATAATTGTTCTTTCCTTTAAATATACCTCCAAAAAAATTAATGCATTCACATGTTTTTCAAATTTTAACAATAAATGAAATTCAAATCCGATAGTAATTAAAGTCTTGGCAGCTTTAAACGCTTGTTTCGACTGCGCGTCTAAGGTAAAAAAATCTTATCTCTGTGTCACAAACGTCTAAATCTTTGCTTATATAGAGATTTCATTAAACTTTTTTCTCTCTTACCAACATATTCTATTTAATTTAAACTAACTAAATGAAAAAATTTAAGATTAAAATATTCTACAAATTTAATTTTGAAAAATCATATATTAATATTATATATAATCTTTGTATCTAAATTAACAAGTTGCCTAATAACTCAAAGTTAATTAAGGATGACATTTTTAAACAGCAAGAGATAGCGCACGTAATGCAGTATGGCGTGCAAGGTAAATGGATCATTTTTGCGCATCCAACTAAGTTGCCATCTTATATAAAATATTCCAAAAAAGTAAGTGTCGAACAGATGACGGTAGATAGTGAACTTGAATTGATAAAAATTAAAGAGTTCTTCCCCGAAGCAAAGTAAGTAAAACACAAATTCTATTTAGATATTTTTATTATAATTTAAATGACTTTTTCTATCGTTTTATTTTTTTATCGATGTATGTACAATCTAGATGATTTGAACAGAATTGTGATACACATCAGTTGCGACGCGAAAAATTTGCCGGTACCGTTAGGAGCAAAATTCGGTTGCGCACCGCGAGAGGAAGTTACGTGCTTAATACAGCATACGAAGGATCTCGGCTTGAATTTATATATTATACGGTTTCAGTTTTCATGTCGGTTCCCCGTGCTTAGAACTGGACGCCTATCGTAGGGGGATCAAAATGTGTAAACAGTTAATCGCTTTCGCAAGATCGATAGGCTGCAAAGACAACTGATCGATATCGGCGGTGGATTCCCGAGCGTGTATGACGAAGATTTCGATGTGGTATTTCTATTTACCAAGAATGTTTCTACTTATATATTGTTTGTTGATATCTGCGTTTTGTTACGTCTTTTCGAGTTGGTCAAGATTATTAATGGCGCGATCAAGGACCTGGAGCCCGATATAAGAATCATCAGTGAACGCTATTACGTGGGTTCGAATTTCACTTTAGCCTCCTTCTTGCATTCTAAAAAGCTTGCCATTTCCGAAAATATAAATATATTATGAAGAAATAAATAAAAAATATCAAATAAATATATTATAAAGAAACGATAATCGCGTAGAATAATTATCGAATTAACATAATATCGTAGCCGACGAGCGACGAAAAATTCCTGTCGAATCTATGGGGATCGACCGCCGACTCGTGTGATCTCATTCTTAAGAATACGCTACTTTACGTTGCCGGAACTTTATGTAGGCGACTGGTTAGTCTGGAGAGATATGGGTGCTTACACGTTAGCGCTTTCCAATACATTCAATGGGTTCCCGGTTCCAGTTGTAAAACGATTTATTAGAAAAACTCAATAGTCAGTATCCGTAAAAATATGTGTACGTCAAAATGATATTAAATTTTGCATGCTTGAAAGAGAATATATTTAAATTATAACACAACATATATATATACATATACGTATACATTTTTTTTCTCTTTGTAATAATATATTAATACTTTCAGGAAAAGTTTTCTAAAACAAATTAATCAAATGTAAGGTATATTTTATTTCGGACAATGCATTAAAAATAATATTAAGTGAACATAATATATTATCGAAGAACATTTCAACAACATTTACTTTACGAATTTGGTTATCATAATATTGTTTGTTCAATATTTTAAATTTTAATATAAAAAAGCTTTTTTAATAATATTAATTAATAAATTTAATAAGTATCTATATAATTTTGATAACTGCGGTTCACTCACTTTTTACTTTATGACTACATGTGATTTTTAAATAACTAATTTTATCATTTTACATGTTGATATAATCGAATTACAAATTTTGTAATTATGTGTTTTATTCTTTTAATGTATTTCGCACATTATTGCATGTTTTAATATAAAAAATAAAGTGTTATTATATTATATTCCTAACAGGTTTATGTTTTCTTCAAATATTTCGGTAAAACTCTCTAAAGAAGATCACAATTATGATTTGCAATTGAAATAAGAAAGAGAATAAATAAATAGAGTAGAATAAGCGCTGAGAGAGAAACGAAAAGAAGAAAAATAGACATATTTGCCGAAGGTTTTACAAAGTTTTTTGTACGTAGACAGATACACTATCGATCGACTGCACAAATTCGCGCGCATCAAAAATTGCGACGAAATTTTTGTACGAATTTATTTGGAATGCACGACATTCGCAATTTCTTTCTTTCGAGGTATGTGTTATTTTTATATATTTATCTCGCCTTAACGGCTGTAAATGGGTTAATCGAATAAATTATGTAAATAGTACAATCACATTGATGCATGGAATAAGATTAGTGTAATACAAAAATATAACGCGCAATAAACTTTTAACGAATATGCAGATAATTTACACGAATCAAATGACGTAAATAATCTCGCGTTTACATATACTAGGTTACATTATATCGTAACAGTAATCCGGTAACAGTAATCTTTATTTCCAATAATAAACCGCGACGATGTAGATAAGAACCGACGACGAGGGGATTGACCATAAAAAGTACTTTATTCCGAATTGTATCTCTTTATTTAATGAGACCCAAACGAAATAGGAAGCGAAAACTCCATATTTCATCGCGATCTATCTCATCGAGAAAGACCTATGAATCACTCGGCCCATTTCATTGATTCTCATTTCGCAATCTTTCATCTTTATCGCGAATCCGCTGTAATCGCGATTGTTCGAGAAAACTGCCGCGTTTATCACTCGTAAATATCGTACAACGAGGCGATCGTATCTAATTTTATGGAAAGTAGACAACCGTGTGATCTATGCAAATTTTACGGAGACTTTTAAATATACAGAGAGGTAATTTTAATAATTACCAACAATCCTTTAGCTCTGAAATGTCGCTAGTATAGGGTAGTATCGATTTCGCGAAGGGCATTTTTCTCTTCTCCCTTTCGTTTCTGAATCGAACGAAGCTGGGGCTCGCTGTCGACGCGAACTGGGCACTAAGTATGCATAGACGGGTTTCCGGGTTCGCGTTCGGACTTCACCTTTACGATCCGTTGGGTCGGTCCAGTAACTAGTTGGCATGGCGCCATGCATAGAAGCGCGCGCTAATAAGTGTATATACCTGCTCTGGTAGCTACAACCCCGCTAATACTCGAGCGGCTGACAAATGCTCCAATATCCGCCGCCATCGTCAGTACCCAGCCGACACCAAGACGAGTTTCCTTTAGTGTTCGGCCGAGTTTTTACTAGCTCGGGCATGCTCCACTTCGTGTCGGGTCACGACGCAGAGCATCGTACATATATATCTATCCAGTCGAGAAATCGCTACGTTGACATACTTAAAGCTGAGAATAAATTTGTTTCAATCTTTTATCAGGAGAGGAGCAAGAGACCGAGGTGAAAATTCAAGAATGTCATGCAAATTCGAATGATTTTATGTAAACATTATTGCAGCTCCAAACAAAGACTTTGCGTATATCTTCCTCATCCGGCTATTAATATCGATTCTATATCCGGAGCGACCTTTCGCTATATAAATTCACGTAGTGCAAAAATCGCTTATTGGATTACGTGGCAAAAGTTCAGCGGGAAAATATGGTCACCGGTGATATGAGGGCGAATATGAGAGATAAGGGTGGATTACAGTCGGCGGAGATCTATCGCAAGTTGAGTTTCTCTGGATTAACCCTTTGCGTTTGTGAATCCAACTGGGTTAACCGCGGTCGCGTTCTATTTTCTCTCTCTCTCTCTCTCTTTCTCTTTTCGGCATGCAGCTTGATTGGCCTCACCACAGTTTTCACGGAGAAATGGCGAATTGGCTGTCAACCCGCTACAAATACACATGGATGGCGACGGATTAAGAATCGGGGTTACGAAGACCCACGCCGATTCGATCGACCGTCTCTTTCACATTTTTTTCAACGAGAGTTGTATTTTCAGAGGACCAATTTCATGCGCGTCACACTGTGAATGACGCTGCTTTATAACCCTGAATTGTGGTCGCGTTGAATCAATAGCCGGTTGCCGTGCTCGGACACACTCTCCACTCCGAGATTTGTATTTGTTCCATTCCGATAGCTCGTTATACACACATACACGTTTTCCCCGCAGGATTGACAAGGATTGGAGCAATTCAGAGAAAAAATGATCGTTAAGTAAGATTTATTCTACGTATTTCGCATTAAAACTGCCAAAGCAAAATATTGACGTCATCGACGAGCCCTTTTTTATTAAAACAGTTTTACGTTGTGCAAGTTTTATCCGGATAAAAAAATAAATAAAAAAAAATCTATAAATTATAATGCTGAAAACAATGAAATACAAAACTGGATCTAACATCAAATAAATAAATTGCTAAGTGAGGCATCATGTGTCATCAATAATGTTTTTCTCAAAAAATATTATTGCTAATAATACAAGACGTAGAAT